AGGGATAATATATATATATATATTAGTGTGTGCGCGCGCGTTTCAAGCCGTAGCCTGTTGGTTGGCGGAGTTCATTGTAAGTCCCTTGAGGTCACAGGTTCGATCCGCCGTGACGCGGGGTTCTCAAATATTTAGTCAAATGGAGTGAGCTCTTGTCATGGGGTCTTGATGCGCATGAGAAATCGATATTTGGGTCTCTGTCAAATATCGATTTCCTTTATATATATATGAATTAATATATGAATATGACCTATTTTAATTAGATGATGCAAAGAGTTTTATTCGATTAAACAATGCTTGATGGACATTTGAATGCTTTAACGATGTCAGAATTAAGCAATTTGTGGCTCGTTAGATTCGTCTCGTCAAGACGCTCGATTCGACCATGAACTTGCCAGATTTGATGTTCGTTTGACTTTTCAAATGTGTCTGAAAGACTTTCAAGCTTGATTTGATGGCTTGACCAAGACTTGATTTGACCCGAAATTTGATATCATTGGGCCCGTCCCATCGAACCGATTAATTTGACCATAAGTTTGATGAAATCGAAGCTCTGGATGACTTTTAATTGAAGTTTGAGTGATTATTGCTCAAGAGATTGTCTTGAGATTCGTGTCATGCCTCAAAATTCGTGTTTGATGATAATTTTTTTGTGGCATAGTGTGTGTGTTTGTGTGTGTATAGATGGGTCTAGTGAACAAATAATTATAATGACAACAACATATAATTAGTGTTGTTAACAATTTGATTTTGAGCCGAGTAGTGGTCATCTCTAAAAACGCTTAAAAAAATTTGATCTAAAATTTTAGGTCGTTGTTGGGCTCGTTTTTTTAATCTGATCTCGATTCGAGCCAAAGTTTAAATTAATTTTCTAGCTATTAACGACCTTAAAACTAAATTTGCTAAGTTTATATGTATAACATCATTAAGTGTGTTAGCAATCATATTTCAACCTGAGTCGTGCAAGAGCAAAAAAAAATTGATAAAAAATTTTAGCTCATGCCTGAGCACATTTATTTCAATCTGATATCGATCCGAGCTAAAATTTGAATTAATTTTCAAGTGATTATCGATCTTCAAGCTAATTTCACATCCTACATACAATTCAATCATTTGGTTTTATTTTACAACGAGAAAATAAAATTTCATTAATTCTCCAATTCATTTCACTTATTTGAATTTTTCTACAATAATATCTGAAAATATGGTCGGAAACCTCCGTGATGAAGTGACCAACGCGGCGGTCCATTTCTCCATTATGGGATATTGTAGTTCAACGCTAATTCTCCAATTCATTTCACTTATTTGAATTTTTCTGCAATAATGTCTGAAAATATGGTCGGAACCTCCGTGATGAAGTGACCAAGGCGGCGGTCCATTTCTGCATTATGGGATATTGTAGTTCAACGCCTTTAAGAACTTGGCATGTATTGTACACTGGATACTGCTCTCAGAGCTTTTCTCTCATAATGACAGAACCGATGGCTTTGAGAGTGAAACCCCCCCTTTTCATGTCAAGATATATGAACTTGGCATGTATTGTACACTGGATACTGCTCTCCGAGCTTTTCTCTCGTAAAGATAGAACCGATGGCTTTGAGAGTGAAATACATCTTTTTCATGTCAAGATATATATATCAAACAATTACAAATATAAAAATTAAACTTTAGGTGTTAGATATTATTTGCTAAAATATGTCTAGAAAAATTTTTATTTATTTCACTGATCATTATTCTTGGGCCCTATTTAGATTTGCTTTCTCTATCATATTTAAGATTTATGGATACAGAAAGTCATTAATATGTCACTTCCAAATGTTTTAATTATGACAAACACAAGCATTAGAAATAAAATGAAGAATCCTAATAAATGAGTTCAAGCTTTTATCTTAAGAAAATATTACGTCTAGACCATCAAATATTTGGATGACGGTGTGAATCTCATTACAACGCTTGCATATATCGTAGTGTGATCCACGCCGTCGTCCGAATATACGACTGACACTTGTAATATGTTCTTCTTATATTGCCCAAAAGATAAACAATGTAAGAACACCAAGGTAGGTCATTCCTGCTGAAATGTAGATTAGGTCCATAGCAGCATAAATTAAACAAAACAAAGCAAAATAACAGAAGTAGCACCTAAAAATGCCCCTTCAAAAGTTTGAGGCCGATGCGGCCCTTAAACATGGTTTTTGTGCCATTGAACCGATGCTAATGGGCCTAGTACCCACCGTTAGTTAATAGACCCGGTATAACCATTTGTTTAAATATATTAATAATTATAAGTGTTTTTGTTGAATAATTCCTTTAAATATATTTTGCTCCCTCTGTTAATTATGATTACTTGGGCTATAATTTTTCAATAAAATTCAAATATAATTTAAATTTTATTTGAATGATATTCCAATATGATTCTAAGAGGTTGCATGAAGTTCAAATTTTACTTGAAATTTGCTTGAATTTTATTTTTGAGGTTTAGTGTGCGAGCAAATATTAAAGAAGGTTTAAAATTTTTATTATAACTTGGCTATTTATTCAATCCATCCTCAATTCTATGTTTGGCATCTAATGTCCAAACATCAGTTTCAAAACAAATATTTGAACATATTTCTAATCATGAATGAATATAGAATTTGATTCATTTCATTTTAAAACCTTTGGTTCTTCCTCCATCTCATTTTCTTATAAACTTAAGTGTGTTCTTCTTTCTATTTATTCGAAAAGATGATCCCAAATGGCAATATGTGTTATTTGAACTAGTGACAATTCAAATGAAAAGTTATGCTCTCAACTACTATGTAACAGATAGATGTGCAAACTTAAGAGTGTTGGCATTGAAACGAGTGATGGGCATTAAAATTTGAATAATTAACTTAAAATGATTATAAACTCCTCGTATGCATTGTCCTCAAATTACCATCATATGTTCACCGTCATACCACATTCATGCGGTAGACATCATTGTTGCCGCCACCATACAAAATGTCATTGTTGGATCACAATAACCTAACTACTATTGCTTGGTCACCACTGATATTAGGGATGTTGAATCAGATCTCCGTCACACGGTCCCTGTCGCCAGTCTTTTATCTTCTATGAACTTAGTATATTAAGGATATAATAATAAAGAAATAACAAGAATTAGAATGTAGAAACTATCACACTAATGAGAGTTGTAACAATACAATTATTTATAGTATGGTATGCAAGATTATGTATGAAAGTGGGGACAACCATTAGGGAAAAAGGTGGGGCTGCAACTTTAGCATGTGCTAGTTGCTGAAGACAACCTAAGTGAAGGTTATCATAGCCAGTTGTGTTATGAGTCTCCTAGTGTTTGTGGCTTGGTGGTTGGGCAGGGAGCTTGGAACTGAGTTTTTGATTCTTGGAGGAAGTGTGGCTTTTGGTGAAAATGTTTGCAATTTGTTCTTGGGTAGAGATATGTTGAATAAGCTCTAGGTTACTAGCTATATGCTATTATATGAATTGATAATCTATTTCTATATGCTTTATTTTAGCATGAAAATTGGGTCGTTGGCTGTGGAAATGGATGATGTGTTGTCATAATATATAGTAGTGGTAGTAGATAGTGATTTACCAGATTCACTAACAATTCTTCTTAGCTAAATTATGTCTTGAACTGTGGCAAAAATTTCTTTGTATTCAATTTTAGTTGATGAAATTGTCATTATCTTTTGTTTGTTCACTTTCCATAAGATGAGGTTGAATTTTAAAAAGGTGCAGAATCCCATAGTGGAGCGAAAGTCAGTTGAGTCTCCTACCCAGTCAAAATCAAAATAAAAGTGGAGTTGTAGTTTGTCTATTTTAAGGACGATATCATTGTTAGTTGAACATTTCAAGAAAAAGTGGTGCTCTTTTGAATAGCTGAAAACCAGAGATGGTAGGATTATGCATACATTGGAAGAGAAGATTTAAGACAAATGTCATATATAGGCAGGTAATTGTAATGTATTGGAGACATCCAACGACTAAATTGAGTTAGATTTTTATATGGCAGCCCATATAAAATCTCTAAAAGTAATTTGGCTAGAAGTGGTGTCTTGACTGATTTATTGCCTTGTATTCCTTATCTTTGAACAAAGTCTTCCAAATAATCCTTTTGATAGAGTAAGAATGTTGTTGGGGGTCTGGTTACTTGAATCCCCAAGAAGGTTGAGATGGGGCTTAGGTCTTTTATTTGAAATTGTTGATAAAGCTTGAAGATAAGAATGTAAATTGTAGTAGTATTATTATTCATGTGACTATGTGATCCACATATATTTAAATGTAAAGTTGGATGTATGTACAGTTATATATTAAAAGAGAT